TTACTCTGAGATGGTATCAGCTAGGCTAGGTCCGCCCACCTGTGCTTCCGCCCTAGCCGACCTAGCCCGCCCTAGCCCGCCCTAGCCGCCCAAGCTCGCCCTAGCCACCCTTGCCCGCCCTAACCGCGGTAGCTCACTGGCCCAGCGCTCGTCGGCCCCTCGTTCGCCGGCCCCACGCTCGCCGTCCCCTCGCTCGCTGGCCCCGCGCTCGGCCGGCCCCTTGCTCGCTGGCCCCTCGCTCTCCAGCCCCCACGCTCGCTGGCCCCGCGCTCGCCGGCCCCGCGCTCGCCGGCCCCTCGCTCGCCGGCCCCTCGCTCGCTGGCCCCACGCTCGCCGGCCCTGCGCTCGCTGGCCCCGCGCTTGCCGGCCCCGCGCTCGCTGGCCCCGCGCTCGCCAGCCCCACGCTCGCCGGCCCCTAGCCAGGGCTGACGTTTCAAAAAAAGGCACTCTGAGCTAAACCCCCCCAAAAAAAAATAGTCTGAAAGGTCTTCAGCCAGAATTTAGGGACTCTGAAATGTCAGAGTCCGGAGATGGGCAAGTCTGAAATCCTCAGGATCGCGCAAGTTCTCATCATCACCCCCCTCATTGTCTGACAGGAAAGGGTCGTCGTCTATTCTTGGAGCCGCATCATCCTCATCATCACCCCCATCCTCCTCAGCCCGCCCCTCCCCCATGTACTCTGGCACCTCCCCTTGTCCATCACCCGTTGTGTCTCCCGCCACCTCACCCTCCAGGGCCTTTCCCTTGCGCTTATGTTCCGCAGATGCGAAGACAACAGATCGTGCTGGGCATCTCAGCTTCTCTCGCCAGGTCGCCAGGGCTTCGGTCCAATTGATGTCGTACTGCAGCAGCGAGATGGCCATCAACTCAGAGACGCGTGCATTGCAGAGTGAGCCACGGATCCAGGACTTAATCACATTCTGTCGAGAGAAGCCCCTCTCGCATTCGACTGTTGACAGAGGCAGCATGGCGCAGGCCTGCCACAGGCGCATCAGATTGGGCCAGCGCCTGACACGAGACACAAAACCAAAGGCGGAAGAAAGGCTGTAGGAAATGCATAGAGTGAAGGCGGATAAAAAAGGGGGTTTAAAGGCAGTCGGCAAGGCGGCAATGCTGTGCACACTTGGCGAGTAGAATGGGAGGTGGTGATTCAGAAACAACAATACCGTTGGACTTGCCTGCTCGAGTCCGTCTTCGTAAGGTAGTTTGCTAGGCCTTGGTGGAAGATCTCCACCTCGTGATGATTCTGCATGATCGGCGCCCACATTGCGAGCTCCGTCTCTGCTGCCTTCATGTCGAAGCTGGGCAGCTTGTGCTCGAAGATGCCGCTGCATCCAAGTAGATACTCTCTCGTCTTCTTCTCGCAATGCGCCCGTTGTCTCGGCCACTTCGCCGCCACCCACAGCTTCATCGGCGACAGATCCCGCATCCGCTTTCGTACGTTGATCATGGTATCCTTGGCGTGATTCTGGCACAGCAGCACGCAGTCCTTGTAGCTGCTTCCGTAATGGTGCTTGTCGAGGTGCCGCTCGTGCATCTTGTACGTGTGGGTGACGGTGTTCCCCTCCAAGTCGATACCGCGCACCTTCACCCGCTTCGACCCGCCGCGCCCGTACACCATGAGGAACGCCGAGAGCCAGGTGTTTTCGACGCCGACACCGAAAACCTGCCCGCACTCGACATAGCGGTGCCGCAGATCCCCCAGTGTCTCGTCGATGTCCGTTGCCACCTCTGTGACATGGACCTGCGGTGTGGGGGGGAGGACACAGAGGAGAGGGAAAGACATGAGTAGTTGCACCAGAGGAGAACACCACGCTTGCAGACAGCATCTCACCTCTCGCTTCTGGAACTTGAGGTTGAGGTCGTTCATGAGTGCCAGCATGTCGGCCAGGTAGAAGAGGCAAAACTGAAACTTATACAAAATCACAACCTCATACAGGGGATGCTCATACTCATACAGCAGGACAATCGCAGCACCCAACACTTTACACAGGCGTCGGATTGCCTCTCCCCTCGACAACCATCGAACTTGATGGATGCATTGAACCTCAAGGTTTGTGCTGTGAATCGCCCGCTGCAGATGCTGGAAACGATTTCTCCATACGCTCGACCGGCAGAGAAGGTCCGCAAGGGTGCGAGTGACCTTGTCGACCATGTCGAGGTCTAGACATGAAGCGGCAGCATCCTTCACAGCAAGTGCTTCTCTGCATGTACCCACACGGGTAGTAGTTAGCACACGGAGTCATAGAAACATAAACAAACAGCAAGGAATACTTTAACAAAACTGTGGGCGATGCAGTGGGAGGAAAAGAGGTGTGGGATGATGTCTCGCAGGCGCGCCACAAGCCCATTGTCTCGCCCGACCATCACCAACGCGCCGTCTGTGCTGATGCCGACGATGCGTTGAAGGTCAATGCCGGACGACTCCAGGTGGACTACGAGAGTGGCCATGAGAGAAGCGGCGTCGCACTTATCAACTTCTAGCAGGGCTAGGATTTCGGTGACGACTCGACGCAACCGCATGAAAGTGATGTAGACGATCAGGTGCTTTCCCCGCGTGCGGTCGGTGCTCTCGTCGCATGAGATGCCGAGGTAAGGTGAGCTCTTGATGTGCTCCATCTGAGTAGCCAGCAGATGAGTTGACAGACAGTTCACCATCTGCTGGAACCCGTACCTGCAGTGGCATAATCAGAAGTGAAACAGTCGTTAATTAGCATTGCAAAGGCATTGAAATTTACATGGTTGATACCAAATCCCAACCATCGACCGGCGAAAACAAGGTAGCCTTACCTGGTGAGATACACACCGTACGACTGGAGAGGTAAGTCTGGTGTGTCTTGCTCTGCCATGAAACGAAGCAGCGTGGGAAACATGGCGATAGGAGCATCGTTCTTGCAAAGAAACTCCACACACTGCAAAAGACGGATGACGCGGCGGCCTTCGACATCGACTGTGGCAAAGCTTGTCATCTTCTGCTGCTTGTCTTCAATTTCCTTCTGAATCTCGAGCTGCCGGCAAACCGCCTCTTCGTGGACTGTCGAGTGTTCATGAATGCGCATCATCTGTGTCTGGAGATCTCGCCCGCCATCGCCTGGCCTTGAATACTTCGTCGTTTCTTTGTTGAAGGCTCGGCAAACGCTGCATTTAAGGGCAGGGTAGCCTTCCTTAGTACGGGTAAGTACAAGCCAGGGGAAATAACGCAGCCAATCATTCTTGTACTTCGCCTCAGCGACTAGGTACTTCTGCTCAATCAACTCTTTTGTACTTAGCTTCGGTGGCGGCGGTTCATCAGGGCGGGTGACAGGGGGAGGTGAGCACGGTGGTGAGGGAGGGCGAATCTGGCCACCAAGGTTGATACGCTGATGTGTATACTTCGTCATGCGTTGTTTTTTTGCCAAAGAGACAGTGGATGCGCATGGCACACTAAAACGAACGGTAGAGGCGGTGGCGCACTGAATGGGATCCACTGGCCCTCTGCTGAAAGATGCTATGGCTGGTGGGAGAATGAAGGGAGCGGGGGCAGGTCTACTAGGCAACGATGGCTCATCGCATGGTGTCTCGTCAACAGCGGTTGTGGTGACAAAAGGTGGAGGAGCCGATGCAGCAACGGGCCACAAGATGTCTAGGGCGCTCCTTGGCGCTACGGCAGGATCCTTACTGCTGCGTGGCTCATCACCATCAGCAGGAGCATCATCGGCGCCATCCTTTTCAGGCATGGCGAGAGAAGAAACGACAAGTAGAAACTAAAGAAAGCGACTACAACTACGCCTGTGTCTCAGACAAATGAACAAATGGAACGATTCCCCCTGTAAAACTTGAAGCAGTGCGTTCAAAGCTGATGGGTAAGGAACGATTGGAGAAGAAGGGGTCCATCAAACCAGTGTCGCACCTTTCTTGAAAGGTCTGCAAGGCTGGCACAGAGGGCACGGGCCCGAGGTTCACGCATGCACAGAGAGCAACAGAGCAGAATCTGCGGTCCTGATTGGCTCAGCATGGCAGCATTTTTGCCGCGCTGGATAGCAAAGTGCCCACTGTGGGCAGAGTATATACATTGGACTTGGCGGAATTTTATGCGAAGTGTGGATTCTGCACGTGACACGGGCGGGAAGCACTGATGGCAGGCGAAATTTCTGGGGATCTTGCGCACCCCATGGAAATTTGTTTCAGGGTTCGTACCCGTTGTACTCTGAAAACTCTGTATTGGGTTAGCGTGAACTCTGATTTTTTCAGGATCCCCAAAGTCTTAGTCTGAATCGATCAGGATTGAGAAAATGCCTTATCTGGAAATTCAGGTTTGGCAAAAAAACTGGTCTGAGATTGCAGACTAATCATAGTAAATAGTCTGATAAAATCAGCCCTGCCCCTAGCTCGCCGGTCCCTCACTAGCCGGCCCCTCGCTCGCCAGCCCCGCGCTCGCTGGCCCCGCGTTCGCTGACCCCGCACTCGCCGGCCCCGCGCTCGCTGGCCCCGCTCTTGCCGGCCCCTCGCTCGCCGGCCCCGTGCTCGCCATTCACCTCCCCCTCCATTCCAAGTTGAAGCGTTGCTTCTTGCAAGTTGAACTGGCTCAACGTTGCTTCGTCTCGTGTTTGCCCTCAAATATGCATTGCGACGCCATTCGCATTTCTATAGGACCGACGCTGGAGATAGGGTTTGGGTGCGGCCACGAATTGATGGCCAACAATTCGATCTCCACGGCGATGCGGACAGGCTGTTCCGTACCACCCATCACTCTGTCTCACCGCTCAATCCATTCCGCTCAACCCGGTCATGCACTTAGTGGTGTGAATTCTCGTCGTGACTCCTCAACAGGACACGGGGTCCCGCGTGTCACGCGTATGGTCTCCTCTGCCAGCTGTCACTTTCCCATTGGCGAGTATGCTTTTGGCGGCACTGCGTCGACAGCACTAGGGAAGCGCCGTGAAGTAGGATGCTGTTTGTGTTTTAGAGTGGTCCGGTACAACACTGCTCCGATATTAATAAGCTTCCCAAATGATTTGCTC